TACAAGTTACAGTAACGGCAAGTTGTTTGAAATCTATGCTTATAATGCTACAAGTTACAGTAACGGCAAGTTGTTTGAAATCTATGCTTATATTGCCACAAGTAATGGTAGTAGTGAGGTGTCTCGTTTGAAATCTATACTTATATTGCCACAAGTAATGGTAGTAGTGAGGTGTCTTGTTTGAAATCTATACTTATATTGCCACAAGTAATGGTAGTAGTGAGGTGTCTTGTTTGAAATATATACTTATATTGCCACAAGTAATGGTAGTAGTGAGGTGTTTTGTTTGAAATCTATACTTACATTCAAACTTCGATCAAATTAGGGACTTAAGACTATTATTCTTATACATTTCAAACTTGTCTCACCTGACCAAATGTCGAGCAAAAAACTCATCTCTTGACAAATCGTCATTTCCACAACATACAACTATCAGCAGATATCAAACTTAAAACTGACTGTAAGATAGATTATTATTATTACCATGAAAATTATATCACCTCCATCCTCTTGGACCACTGGACGAATTCTTGTTTCCAGGAGCTCCTTTATCATCTGCACTGTTTCATTATCTTCTGGCTGAATTTCTGGACAATAAAAAATTTAACTTACATCCAAAGTCAAATTTTGTACAATGGTTTCAACAGTTTTTGTAGATCTAAATCATCAGTTGCACATTAACAGTTGATAAATGTTTCCTGTTTTAGATGTTTTACTTCTATTTTAATAGATCACCAGAGTAAAAAATTTATTATCCAGCATCTGCTAGAACTAAGCGGAGCGAGATAAGCAAAAATTCCAGTTATGAGAGCATTTTCTTTACAATATTCAACAGGAAAAAATTTTGACACCTAGTTAATGTTCTAAAGTACTGTATTTCTACATCATCTATAACAATAACAATCTTATACAATAATAAATGTCATAAAAAACATTTTTAAGTACAGTATTTTAAATGTGAATCACACTACAGGTGGCTAGCGACTGCATCTTGCCGGCAGGAAAGGATGTTAACAAAGCCACAGCAGCACTACTAAGCTAAATCAAGCATTTGTATTTGGAGGAGTTGAAATGTCTGGTTAAAAGAGTTTTCTGGATATGAAGATGTCAGACAACAAAGCTCTTACTGTATAAACGTAATGTGAGTAACCCACTTTCCTTGCCTTTGTGACAAATCTAAAGTTTATAATAAAAGACAATTATTTAATCTGTAATTTCAGGTTTTACATAAAAGATCCCATCTACCATAAGATTTTTAAAAATATATAACTTTTTTTTCTTTTCAAGGCAACTGTTGGTCACATTTCAATTTTTCTAAATAATCAAGAAGTTTTAATGGTATTTTTCTTCATAGAAAAGTTAAAACTGTAAAATATTAGAGCTCCTTATAAGACAAACATTCATAACTATCTGATTGGCTCTTACTTAACACAATGCTTAAAACATACTAAGAGCACTTCAAAATAGCCATTACTAAACCTGTGTCAGACGGAGGAGGTTCGTCAGTCAAAACTGGCAATCCAGATGCAAAAAAGTCCATAATTGTAGCAAAAATATCGGGTTTCAAAACCTTCCACTCTGTTTCATCTTCTTCCTGGAGTCAAAACAAGACATTTCAAATCCTCTAACTCAGTGTCAACCTTACAAGAAAACCACTCAATAAATGACTCTTAATTTCCTAATGATTAATTACAAATTTCAGTCAAGTACAGAACAACTTTCTTTTAAATAACACAAAGATTAATTATAATTTATTCATACCCCAAAAATAAGTCACTCCATTATACTTATAAATCACTGTTTCACAACTTATTATAATATTAGCATAATGTGCTTCTTTATTCAAGATTAACTGAATGTATATAGTTCAGTAATGGGGCTGTTAATTAATTAATTAACAATTACCACTAAACACCCAGATCTATTTAAGATTAATTTAAGTCTCCTAAGCTGGCCAAACCTCGTGAGATAATATTGCCATTATGGTTAAAAATATCATTAACATTGGGGTTACCCAACTGATGACACAATGAATTCTAATTTTTATAACAAAGAATATAAGAAAAGTATATTTCAACAGCTATAATAATTACCAATATCAGGTTGAATTTTAGTTTCACTCTAAACAGGTAGTTTGCTCTGCTCGGAACTTAATATTAATTTGACATAGATCTACATTTAAAAACTACAATATACTTTTTTTCCAGCCTTAAATAATATGAAGTAACCTTCTTTTAACACCCAATCACCCAACTAAAGTGACATAATTAACATAAGCTAATAAAGTTTGAAACTGTAGCAATCTGTTGGTCATGACACGGGTTTCTTTTAGAACTCTTAATTCTGATACATTAAGGTTTTTTTATCGTGCTCAAGATGTTTCTTAAACAAGTAGAATACAATAAAAAAAGATCTTTATATATGAACAACATTTTTTCCAATAAAGTTTTTAACCTTAAAATTACTATTAAAGTTATTAATTATAAAGCTTAAGAGAAAAGAGAGGCTATTTACTTTAGTAACTGTGATGAAATCTGGTCCAAAGAAAATAGCTTTTACACCTTCAATGCTGAAGAGCTGACGAGCAAGAGGAGATTTGTGAGCAGTCATAGCTGAAGGAAAATCCATTGTACCTTTCTCCAACACTGCACAACCAGGTAAAAACTTAAGGCTGTTGGGATTTGGTGTGTCTTGAGTTTGAATGAACATTGTTCTAGCTAGAAATTAGGTACAATTCAGTCAGTTAGTATAAAATAATATTAAGAACTGTTTACCTGTCATATTAATAAGAATTTAAGCTTTTACATCATTATATACTTTACCCTACCAACAGATAAGTTTTTATGATTGTTCCAAACTAAAATTTTGTTTGCCTTATTAGGCAGGTGTAATTAACAGCATTTCCTTACTTCTACATGGCAAGATCAACCAGCCAATAAGGCCATATCACATTACTGTTCCCATGAAATCACAAACCACATTAATTCCAAGTCTCAAGTACTTGTTTATTAGTTTAATACTAACAGAAAGAGACAATATTTGTGAAGGAGCAAATTATACAAGGTGTATGTTTCTTTCCTTGTTGATAATTGGCCTTGTGTATTACTGCTAAAATCAATTAAATAACATAAATAAATTTAATTGTACACAGTTTAAAAACTTTTATCAAGATTGCTATGTATTTCAACATGGCCAACATGTCTGTTCCATTAATTTAATGAAGCTTTTAAAATGTGTAAACGTAAATTTTGCATTTTATTTAATTGATTTTAATAAGTGTAGGTTTCTTTTTACAACAGAGTTAACAAAAAAAAATATTGTATTATATCCATTAGAATCAATGTGTTAGAACTCCCAGAGTTAAAAGAAACATAGATACAAGTTTTTAACAGCCCATTACCCTAAATCAATGCAGAAACTCTACCGTCTACTATCCAAAAGCAGTAACATTCTCCCTGAAAAGCCAATAAATTTTTTATAAACACAATATATTTGCACTAAAATAACACTTAATTGGGGAAAAAAAAATGCATGACATTGCTCTACAAACACAGTTCTTAAAATAAAGAACAGTGCATGTATTGTAAGACACACCTCACACGTACCTGGTTGAAGGAAGGGAGGTTTCTCAATAAGTTGAAGAACTCTTTTAAGCGGCCTGTTACTAACACAGTTACTAATGCTTCTGCACAGATGATACCTCTGGATTCCATAAAGATGCCTCAGGTTCTGAAGTTGAATTCCTTCTCTAAGAAGAAAACTATGACAAAGAGAGTATCATTACATATAAAAATATATTTATTACTGGAAACCCTACATTTATAGTTCAAAAAATGTATGAAACTTTATACGAGTTTAAATAACAAAACTGTGTAACAATGGCTAAATATGTGAGTAACACAAAAATATTCAGAGATCAAGTTGTTTTCCTGATTTATTTTTCAACCAAGATGAGTTGACCCTAAACTACTTTTCAGGAACAAACTTTAAGATAGAAAATAAAGAGATCTCAAGTTTAATATACAACTTTATGACTTCTGTTCACTTTCTTGAAATATTTTCTCTATATCACTCATTAAAATTATGTAATTATAGTTTACAATTAGTAACTTGTACGTAAATCCTAACAACCCATGAGTGAAAGTAAAACCATTCTACTTCTGCCATATACAGTACTGACAAGGCTCTTCAGGCCAGCTGGAATATAACAGAAAAAGTTGTGGTCTAGATGCTATATATGTCCACAATTTTCATGAACAATTACTGTTATTGTGTGAACCAGATTAAACAAGTGAAATGTAATCATTATCAACTGTACTTAAGTAATTTAAAAATGAAACTTTTAAGGTATTAATAACACAGCATTATTTATTTTTATACACACAGTTATACTAAAGTTGAAATGATACATAAAATAACGTGAAACTTGAAGCCTATAAATTGAGTTCAACAGTATTATCATTTTTTATGATGGAAAAATGGCTAGTTTAGTGTTTTAACGAAAATGAAACTGGAAGTGTGATTAAAATATAAATCATATATGTATAACAGTATAAACATATAATAACACTGAAAAACTAACATATATATCACAATATAGTAGAAATAAGCTGATTAATCCCATACTATTTGTTCCAAAGTGTGACTCCTGAATGGAGGTGACTTGTTTCTTCGTGACTTACAGAATAGAACTCGTATTTGAACATTTATGATACTCAAGTATTCAACCATAACATACTTGTCATATAGTCCTTTATTTATTTGACAATATACAGAATGGTCGTGGGTATTACTCCAGCCAATTTTTATTTTTAATAAGATTTTCAAACATTTTTTTTTTCCTATCACTATATTACCTAAAACTTAAACATTATATTCATAATTTGTAATACGTTTATTTAACCTTTAACTGTACACATGTGCAATATCTTAGAAAGACTAGTTCAATGTACTTTTATTTTTCTATTGCTTAGTTTAAAAAAAAAGGTTGAGTTATATAAGTTAACTGATAACTTGCAAGTGCATTAGACTGTTGTCAATCGGATACGACTGAAACTGACTCATAGTGGATAAAGTTTTAAACGGCTCACATAAAGTTATGTAAGGCTTAAAATATATAACGTGTTACACTTACATGACAGTTAGTGAATCGGAAATAATCAGAACCTATATTGCAATATTTTAATTACCTGTTCATAAGATGAGAACTAAAACCATTTCTACGAGTATAAGAAAAAATACGACCAAAACTACATCCACTTGCTTTCATTGCCGCCATTTTAGTTACCCTGTTTCGTAATGTTTACGAAAATTAATCTGGAAATAAATATATTATACATGTTCTGTAATTTCAAAGTAATATGATAAAAGTTTTTCGTGAAATTTGATTTGTCACCACTTATTATATTGAATTTCACTAATATAATGTCGTGCGTTATTGTTTCGTTTTTGTTCTTAAATATGATATAATATTATTATCGTAACATTGATGTATGATCTGTTTTTGGACCTTCTGTGATACCACAGAGCTTTCCTTATATCTATTTTATTATGTTAATATCAATTCAAATTACGTTCTTGTGTGTCAGAGAGCTATTGGTTATCATCCCGTTTCTGTTAAATCGCGCTCCACAAATTAAGGTTGTGCTTCGCAATAAGAATGGCGGTAAAATCTCACTATTCGATAAGACAAGAGTAACCCAATGTTAAAGTTACTTTGTAACCTGAACCTCACCCATGGTTAGTGCATATAAATATATGCTTCGAATGAAAATAATTTTTTTTAGAATTATGTTTTCTTAAATGTTTGTGCTTTATTTTTGTTCCTTTTTTTAATTAATCATAAGACGAAGGATAAAAAGGATATTTTTTCTTAATTGTCAATACCTTCTGTCCCTAATTTCTACCACCTACTTTACAATGTTATTTAAATATATTGGTAGTAAGTAGATAATAAAATGTTATGAAGTTACTAGGCATTAGCTCATAATTATGGTTCAACGAACTATAAAAATTTAATCGTGTTAATATATTTGATTAGCACTAACTCCTTAGTGTTTTTATTTTTTAACGTGTCTGGCTTGAGTCATTTGATAAATATTTGTTAAGTTTGTTTATTTTTCCTGTTAACTTATTTGACTAAATGAAGTATATTTGTCTGAAAACAGCATCATTACATCAGGGGCGTAGCAGAATTGATAAAAAGGATGAAGACGAACCACTTACCAAACAACAAATAAAACTTATGCTTTTTTGAGGTGTTATGAGAAATATGGTAGCATGCATTTTCAATAACAAAATTGTTTGTTTCGAGGGCGAATTTGACAATAGTAAAAACATCATGTTCACAGTCATGGACAAAAACCACTTCTATAATCAGACGCGTACGCAGAATGTTTGAAAGTGGGGTTCTAACTTGTGAAATCAAAAGCTAATGCTACGGGGGTGTGGGGGCATGCGACTATTTCAAGCAAAAAAAAAAATTCTAATGTTTCGTCAGATTAATGTAGACTATGTAGAAAACGTTAAATACCATAAGAAGCAATAACTATTGTATTTTAATTTTTCCAGAGAAGTGCCTGTCCCCTAGCAATTATGTCAAAACTACATAATGGAATATTTTTGCTGTGCTTACTATGAGTATTCAAACCAGAGTTTTAGCGTTATAAGCTCCCAGACTTACCGCTAAGCCATCAGAGACGGAAGGTATCAGATTGCCTGAATGTAGAAACACATATGTCACGAACAAGATTCTTTTTAAATATTGTTTTAGGGAAAATTTGTACCAAATGCCCATAAAAACTATATACAGTTTGAGTTTGTTTAAATAATAATGCTTTTGGAAAGTTCCTTATTTTCAAACATACTATAAAGTATAATGTTTATTGTAAAATATTTTGCATTGATAACAAAAATACTAAGTCTACTTGCAGCCGTCCGTAAATTTGAGGTACTGATCAGATAAGAGGCAGCTAGTTAGCAACACACTACCATCAACGTAGGGATTGGCTGTTACTTTAATAACGCACCTACAGCTTAAAGTGCTGGAAATATTTTGTGGTAATTGGACGGATTAGAACCCGGCTTGTCAGCTCCGAAATCCCCAGCTCTACCACATGTCTACTCCATGCTCCATAACAATGATAAAACTACAAAAATACATTTCATTTATTCTATTGTCATATTCATTTTTGCACAATCCTAGTTCACTTATACATACTTGATAATAAGTAAAGATGTAGTGAACATGTATTATTGTACCCAGATATTAAAGTACAATATTATGATTAATTGTCTCAAACTCTCTGTCTTAGAAATAATTTTAGTGTTGTCTCTTAATTTTTCTAGTCAAACTGAAGTATGTTTTATGTTAAAACAGCTACTATGGACAGGATTAAACCAGTCTAAATGCTGTTTCGTCTTCTTGAAATCTGCCAAGCTCTCCATACCACTGATTCACTCTCTTCATCTGTGTCATTAAAACAATATTTTATTTCTATCTTTGATAAAAGTATCAACCAAAAACGACTTTTTTTAAATTCTTAAATATAAAATGAATTGTAAAATCGTTTTAATTTTATCTTTATTTCACCTTATTGCTTATTATATTTTGTAAAGTTTATCGAACAAATAAATAGAAAGAACTAGAAAGTGAAATAAATCATAGATGAACTCTAAATGTTCCACCACAACTAACGAGTTAAATATTACAAACTTTGTATCATAATGTTAGAACATTAATTAAAGCCAAAGTGATCAAAGCTAGCATGATAAAACAATATGTAAGCTATAAATACCCTTTAAAAATGCCAACATTCTAACTACAAAATACACCCATATGTAGATATCAGAAACTAATCTCAATAAATTTTTTTACAGAAATATATTAACCATATTTAATCAAAAAAACAAGCATACGAATCACCATAGAGATATTATCACCACAGTTAGTCGCAAAAACTTAAAATATTTTCAACGCAGATGATCCAAACTAATTTGACGAATCACTATAGTTTGTCAAAAAACAATAATATGAATCACAATAGTTAATCAAAAAGCAACTAGAAGGCACTCAGTAGAGCGCATACCTCCGCCACACAGCGTTGATCATATTCGGCCCTCAAAAAATACGAAAATCTGTCCGTATGTCCGTCGTTATCAATGGACACGGACCATTTGTGGAAGGACAATGTGAAATAATATTTTACATATGTCCACCAAGTTTCATCAAACTCCGATCATTTGTGACTGAGTTATAGAGCAAATATTGTGTGAAAAATCGGTCTCCCCGTTTTTATTTTCGTGACCTTGACTCTCAAAAAACTAATCACTTCTAAGTTTGGTCATAGTCTAAATTATACCAACTTTCGTCCAAATCCATTCAGCCGTTTTAGAGAAATCTTGCTGAAAAACAAACAAACAAGCACACACACACACATACAGGGGTGAAAACATAACCTCCGTCCACATTCGGTGGCGGAGATAATAATGAGTTAATCAGATAATAATTTGAATCACAGAATTATTCTTTTCTACCTCAGATGTTAAATAATCCTTTAAATAAACACGTTGAAGAGAATACTAAAACCACTTAGTAAAAGTTAAGATTTAGAAAAAAAAAACAAATTACTGATTAACTTACTTGACCTGTTAAATTTGCACAGTTAGAAAAGGTTCAGTAAAAATTTCAATAAAATATCTGAAAATATGGTCTGTTTTTGAATCCAGAAAACAATGGAAAAAACAATAAAAAATTGAAGTTACTTTCTTTAGTTATATAAGAGGAATACTGCGCATGCAGGTTATTTAATGGGAAAAGATACCTCGTCGGATGGCAGCAGTCATCAAATGTTATCAATAAATGTATTAACAACCCAAGTCATATAAATATATATATATACTGCCATTTAGAAATGTGTAACAAAATGATTGTTTTGTTTTATTTAGAATTTCGCGCAGTTACTCGAGGGATATCTACGCTAGCCATCCCTAATGTAGCAGTGATAGACTAGAGGGAAGGCAACTCTTTTACCAGCTAATAGTGGGATCAACAGTTACTTTATAACGTCCCACGGCTAAAACAGAGCGAGCATGTTCGGTGACGGGGAGTTGAACCCGCGACCTCATATTCCAAGTGAAGCGCCCTAACAACCAAGACTCGTAAGAAATTGAAGGATTAAAAATTTAATATTTGCGTAATATCATGAGGATGTGTTGCTTTAATATGAAACAATATTCGACTTTCAAACATACCGAAAACTAATATCTTATTTTTAATTTGTAACTTTAGCGCAAATCTACAAAATAGTTTATCTGCTTTCAGTTCAAAGCTTGGAATCAAATTCCTGATTTTAGTGTTAAAGTCCGTAAACTTACCGCTGACCCACTGGGGTCTTTTTTAATTAATAGTGAAGAAAAAAACGTACTGTTCAGTATCTTCAAATCTTTATATTTATTAAAACATAATGTTATGTTTAAGAAAAGTAATATGTCCGTTTGACTAAAGCTTATTATGACAGACTTATTACAAACCATGATTTATCTAGTCTATGATTGTAAATTATTGTCATAAAATAAGTCTCTCAGTGGATCAGCGGCATGTCAACAGAAATATTACGCTAAAATTCGGATTTTGATACCTGTGGTGGGCACAGCACAGATAGTCCATTGTGTAGCTTTGTGCTAAACAACAAACAAACCAAAAAGTCATGAAACGAAAGTTTAATATCATCAATCAAATATTTTTTTATTCTTGTTACTGGAAGATTTAGATTATTTGGTCCGTTAAATGAAATTTCTAATTTTAAACAATGAACTTTGGGTGTTGTGTTCACCGCGGGGAATCGAACCACGGATTTTCGCGTTGTAAACTTGCTGCAAACACACCGAGGGTAGGGGGACACAACAGTCGTTACAAATTACTCAAGCCAAATTTCACCATTAGTTTAAAAACACATTGTCACAACATTTCGTTTACTTACAAGGAAAAATATACTTGTTCTTTGTCATTATCATCACCAAAAAACTATATATTATCTGCTTTCCTCGTAATTTATTACTATCCCTTATAAGCAGTTTTAGGATTTGAAGAATAATACGAAGCCTACAGAAGAAAAAAAAAAGTATTTCAATTTTCATTGTGAAAGTTTTATTTCTTTGATTTTTTTTAATATAACTATTATCAAGACAGAAATTTTTAACACCTTTACTTGTACATTTTCCAAAACATTAATTCTTACGAGTGTTATCATTATTTAGGTTATGATCAAATTAAACAAAATGAACTGGAA